AACTAACTAATCTGAACACTTTATAGCAGACGTTTAGAAAATTTTTTTAGATATAAAAGAAAAAAAAAAGAATAACGAAATTATATACAAAATAAAAATTTTTTTCTTTCCGTTCTTTTCTATTTTATTTTCGCAAATATTTCTGCTGTACAGAAACCAATTTTTTGGTTGTAGTGACAGAAAAAAAAAGAAAGTTCAGTATTGATATTATGGAATGTAAATGAGGAGAATAAGGGATTAGCAATTGGTCCCGTATGATCGATAGCATATTGGTTTTTACATATTCAAATAATAATTTATCATTAGTAGTAATAATAACAAAAACAACAGTGGTAATAATAAAAATAATTTTTTTCTGAGACAATAATGGAAAAAAAAAAGGCTACTAAAATGTTGTCAAAAACAACGAAAAAAAAAATTCACTAAACAATTTTAAAAAATTACTTACCATTACAGATGGTATATTTACTGTCAAAGAACAAATATCATACATCGTCTGTAATCGGCGATCGAATAGGCGACGTCAACCTTTTCTGTTGTTCATCTCTAAAAAAAAAAAAAAAAAGCATTACTTATTACACATCACACAGTGTCAACAGTTTTTGTACATTATTTCATATTTGTTTTCAGTTCTTTTCAGCTGATAATAACAGTCAAAATTCTGATATACTGCTAAAAATCACCAAACCTTTAAAAATTTTCATTCTTCAACTTAGCATACCAAGAGAAGTAAAGATAAACTTTGAAGTTGATTCATAAAAAGAAAAAAAACTGAAGAGAAGTAAAGAGGAATATTTGCTGGTGAAAGCATGAAATATTGACGAATAGTTACGCAGTCAATAATGGATGAAAATTGTTGAAAGAATGAGTTGATACAACGATACATCAATATCAATTAGCTGTGACTAAGTGGAGCAAAAATTGCATATTCGGATACAACACTTGACTGGCCAAATATGCTTTCTTTTATTTTTTTTATAGAGAGGCATTTTAACAAATAAATAAACAACAAATTTGATATTGCTCAACTTATACACTGTATCAAAATCTATTATTTTACATATGTAATCAAATAAAGCAATTTTTATTGACATAGAGCATAGATGGAAGAGCAGGAGTTTTTTTTTTTTTTTTGCTTCATAAATTGATACAGCGATTAGCTGCTTTTGCTATATTTTACGCTGGTTATTACTGGTAAAAAATAGTGTTTAGAATATAAATTTAAAAAAAAAATTGAACTTTTTATTTTTTTGGTTTCAAAAATTATTTTTGAACAAATACATTTGTTTTGTATGTGCATTGTCGTCTCAATGCATAACGTTTATTCGTATACTGGAAATGAATAAAACTAATTTACTTGACATCATCATCTAAGTGCTGAAGTATACAGAATGATGACAGGCAACGAACGTCAAATGAATGCCTATAACCGAACATCTCGAGTGGTTGTCCCAAATTTCCTTTCCTTTTTTTTTTTT